TAATCCTCCTGTAGTTGGCAGGTGGAGGAGGCCCACCCTACCTATATGCAGAAATGGCATCATCACTGCGACCTGACCAGACGGGGTTAATCAGCAATGTTAGTAATGTGGGCTTCACGGCACAGCTGAAGCCTGTAAAATGCAGGGTGAAAAGAATCACAAACCAGTACAAGGTTGGCTTGATGAGCATCAAGAGTTGGAAAAGCCTTGCAAGAGGCTTGGCTTACCTTGACCAAGTTGCCTGCTGAAGGGCAGGGGGCAATTGCTGGGGCCATGCAGAGTACCCATGGCTGTCGGTTGGCTGTCGTGTCTGATGCCCTTCCGGTTTGCTTAGGCGAACATTTGTGTGCGCTCCCTCAAGAGAGGCCCAGAGGCGTGTAAGACCAGCGAGCGGCAGAATGAGACAGACATGTGGAGTGAAGCACTCACGGGAGGCTCCAAGGTCTGAAAGCCAAGCTTCCCTGGATGTTAAAGATGGCGGGGGCTCTGAGACTGATGTGCTTGTGTATGCCTTCTTCCTACTTCTCTTCCTCCCCTGACTTTGAAGTAAACAAGCCAGGAATAACCTCAAAATATGGCACCCTAGGGGCTCAAGAGATGGATCAGAGTGCTTGCTCTACAAGATGATTCTCATGAATCCTAAGCAGGCGTGTAGAAGTCAGGCATGACTGTTGGTGCCTGTAACCCCAGCACTGGGGAAGCAGACACAGGCAGATCTTACGGGCTTGCTCACCATCCAGCCTAGCCAGATTGGTGGGGCCTGTACTCAAAAAGACCAAAGCAACGGAGGAAGATGTCCAATGTCTGCCTGCTCCAAGCTCTTCACGAGCATGCCTGCGTGCAACCAGCACATGTGTGCTCGCACGCGCGCGCACACACACACACACACACACACACACACACACACACACACACACACGGCACCCTTGGATGCTGATTAGAGGCTCTTAGCTGACAGGAGACACTGGGAGAGGCTTTGTTCTGTTATTCCTTTATCGGATGAAAGCCCAGACTTGTCAAAGTTGTCCCTTCCCAAGGAGTCAGTAAGTTCATATTCGAGGAAGGGAGGCTGAGGAACGTCACATTTTGTCAGAAGCTACATTCTTCTTAAACATTATCGCCCGGGGCTAGTCTGCATCTTCCCTCTCCCCCATGCCCTTCGCAGAAGGACAGAGAGTTCTGCGCCTAGCTAGGTCACCTACTGAGCCAGCTCACTTCTGGGAGTCCCCACTCATGAATGCACTGTCCTTTCTCCTCGCAGTTCATTCCAAAGAACCTTCAGGGTCAAGGGGGAAGCTCTCCTCTGGTCCCTCCAGGGTCAGTTTATTCATTTTCGGAGAAGTGACTGGGGGTGGTCACTTTAATACAGCTCTCCATTTTTCAGGGTTTCTGACTTTTCACTATCACCCCCAAAGGAAGGGTATCAGGCCCTCCCATGGGCTTACCCAGTGGACAAAGCTTATGGACTATTTCCAGAGGACAGAGGCCACAGCTCTGCTGTTACAAGGGCCTGTATCAGGATGAAGGAGCATTTTTCCAAGGCCACGGCAGTTCTTGAGATTAAAAACTCTATAGGAAAATTAAAAGCATCTATTTTTACCGAGTCTCTCGAGCCACTCCGGAAAAACCTTGCAGAGAACACAAGCATCCACATTGACTGAGGCCCTCAAAGAGCCAGCCTCAAAATCCCACTTTCGGTTTTTGGTTTTTTTTTTTAGTTTTTTTTAATGCCAGCTTCCACCCACTCGCTGTGTTCACTCGGTATGCCATGGGCTTTTCTCACTCGCTTGCTCATCTCCAGCTGCTGCAATCGCGGCAGGGCTCATGCAGACGTTTTTCAAGTTATTCTCTAATGTCTTACATAACCAACCTCAGAAATTCATGGAAACCACGTGTTCTAAGAATGAGGCGGGTTTCTTAGAAGAGAAGTCAAAGTAGTCACGTGTGGACCCACAGAACGTGTCCTTCCAGGAAGCCGGGCCTATAAGCATCCTGGGTCGCCATCTGCTCTGTTGGGGTTAACTATAACCATACATTTTGGCAGGAGAGTCTTAACTACCCGCAAGCCAGTGACAGCCTCTCTCAGGCTGAATTCCATCACGGGGTTTACATGCATCAAGGCGGCCTTGCTCGGCAGTTTTAAGACCTGCGATAACGTTCTTCCACGCTGTGATCTCAGGGTGCCCCATCCTGTTCTCAACTGAAGTGCCAGAGATAAAAGCTGCAAGGGCCAGGACATGGAGGCGCTTCTTCCTCAGCTATTCTGACTGGGCTGCGCCATGGAGGAACAGACCTCTCATCTCACATCTCTTTCCGAAAAGACAAAAGGTGACCCCCGAGGCAGGGACCCGGACACAGACCTCACAGAGTAAGTACCAGAGCATGTCAGCCCTGACTACTGACAGTGAAAATGTTCACTCGGCCCACAGCTCCTGACAATACGTGGAGAAACATCATCCCTGCTCGTGGAGAGAGAAACCGAGAAGGAAATAAAAAGCCAACTGACATACTCTAAAAAGATCTTTTTTAAGTTACACCTTTCATCTCAGATGAAAGAAAGGACTGTTTTCAGATAACTGACCAGCAAAGAACATGATGTGATTTGATCCCCAAATGCCCTTATTTTTAGCTAATAAGAATTTGTTTGAGGCTGGGAAAATGGCTCAGTCGGGAAGAGTGCTTGCTGCAGAAGCATGAGACCCTGAGTTCAGATCCCCAACATCTGTGTAAAAAGCTATGTGTGGTCACGTGCACCTGGAACCCCAGTACCAGGGGGTGTCAGACCCCGGATTACTGAGACTTGCTGGCCACCAGTCTAACAAAAAACCATGGCGCTCCAGACTCAATGAGTGACCGTGTCTCAAGGGAATAAGACAGTGTAGGAAGGGAGGGTATCCGAACACACATCTGCATACATGTTTACATACATGTGTACACACATGCATATACCACATATACAAAAAAAAACCTTTTTGAAGGGCTAGGGACGTAGCTCAATGAGGCAGAGTGCTTGTCTACCATGCAAGGCCCTGGGTTCAATCTTCATTCAGCACTCAATCAAATAAATAAAAGTCTTACTTGGCAAACTGAGGCAAGAGGGCCACAAGCTCAAGACCAGTATATAGCAAGATACTGACTCAAAAACAGAAAACAATCTGAATGCAGTGCTTTGTTGTTGTTGAGGCAGGGTCCTGCTTGTAGCCCCGGCTGTCCTGGAACTCTGTTTGCCATTCTGGTCCCAAATTCACACAGATCCACCTGCCTCTGCCTCCTGAGTACTGCGATTAAAGGCGTGTGCCACCATGTCTGGCTGAGGGCAGTTTTTACATGGGCATGAATGAATATGCCAGCTTCAGTCAGATCTTACGAGAAAGGCCAAGGTGGCAGACTGACAACATCCTTGTCCAGAGTCACATTCCAGAAGCAAGATCCGTCTGGACACGGATATAAAGTCACTAGAGCACAGACAGTACATTCCCCAAGGTCCTGATGCTAGTCCTTTTTAGTCTGTTTGCAGCTCATCTAAAGCAACTTTTAAAATTACATTTCATTTATGGGGGGGCAGGGGTGGTGTACATGTGGAGGTCAGAAAACAACTTTCAGGGGTCTGTCCTCTCCTTTTACTATGGGGCTCAGTGGTCAAGTCAGGCCACCAGGACGGGCAGTAAAGTGCCTTCACTCACTGAGCAGTCTTGCTGACTGACCCACAGCTACAGATCTCATAAAAAGTAATGCTGGGAAGAACCTTGGAGACAATTAGTGCTTTATTAGTCAGCTCAGAGGCCACCTGACTTAGCCAAAGTCACCAGAACAGTAGATTTGGCAGGGATGGGACTTCACCCAGGGGTAGAGCAGCTACCTGCCATGCCTGAGGCTCTAGGTTCAATCTCTAGCAACATAGAAAAACAAAAATGAAACAGAAATGATAAACAAAAGCCAGTCTTTAGTCTCTTTGGCACCAGGCTATGAGCTGTGATGGCAGCTTCCAAGGCGTGGCTTAAACATGATGTTCACACATAATCCTGGATGCCTGGATGCTCCTCACATGGGATCATGTGGTGGGGTGGATAAGGAGACATGAATCAAAGAATGGGGCTCTTGTGCGAGCCTCACAGGAGCGACTTTTCATTTTCTCTTACTTTTCTGGATGCCACTCCTGGAGAAGGATACTCTGTTTCAGAAAGGCCTTCTTGAGCCATCTTTACCCACTTTTTGTGTGGGTCATAAATAATGCTAGAGGACATCACACTGCCAACCCTTCACCTCTTTCCATGAGAGGAGGTTTGCTACATGCCCGGTATCAAACCTGCAGGAAGCGGTTCTTGGCTGGACTGGGCAGCAGGAAGATGTCTCCCTGTAGGGAGCACAGAGGAAGGCTGACATACTGGCTGAGGACCCCTCTGTTGTAGAAAGAGCTTCAGATTATGTGGCTTTACTTCATTCCAGTACACACAGCGTAGTCATGGAAGTTCTCTGTGGTATGTCAGATGGAGGAGGCCACTGGACAGCCCCCTCCAAGCCTGGCAGTTCTCTGTGGTATGTCAGATGGAGGAGGCCACTGGACAGCCCCCTCCAAGCATGGAAGTTCTCTGTGGTATGTCAGATGGAGGAGGCCACTGGACAGCCCCCTCCAAGCCTGGCAGTTCTCTGTGGTATGTCAGATGGAGGAGGCCACTGGACAGCCCCCTCCAAGCCTGGCAGTTCTCTGTGGTATGTCAGATGGAGGAGGCCACTGGACAGCCCCCTCCAAGCATGGCAGAATACTCAGGCTCTGTTCACAGCACCGGAGTCTGAACAGTCTCCAATATTCAGCATCCAATTCCATACCCAAATATCACAAAACAATGTTTGATTCCCAATTATTCTACATTTTTTTAGGAGTGGTTGGGAGGGCAGAGGTGCTGGGGTGCAGCTCAGGGCCTCACACACACTAGGCAGTTACTCTATCAATGGCTACATGCCCAGTCCTTAGAATTCTCAAGCAGTTACAAAGCAAACGGTTTTCAAGTAAGTGACTTTTATTTTTTTTCCTCTGACATTTCACAGTCAATTTCTACATAACTTCACACTTTCTTAAAAGGATTCACATTTGGTAAATAGTCTCTACCTAAACAGATTGTGGCTGAAAGGCCACTTCAGTATATGTGCAAGAGTAACTTGTGTGCTGAGGAATCATATCAGTCAGGCGATGCTATAGTCAATAAAACTGTAGTAAACTACAAACGACGTTAATTCTATAACCTGACAAAGGATCTCCTATGGGTTGGCCTGAGCTAAAGCCGACTTCTCACCCTAGGAAAACAACAGCCCTGCACAATGCCTCACAAGGACTTCAGCATGCACCACCGAGGCCATCGCTACTTACATTACAGCTTTTGGGCGACCAACGCAGATTTTTCTGGTCCACTCCGGGCTTCCTCCGAGTGCTGGTCTAGCCTCTGACCTCAAAGGACCACTCCTTCTAGCTTCTCTACTGGAGTCTGTCTGCTTCCAGCTCCACCAGGAACAGAACACTGCACTCTGGCTCTAAGATCACAGAGGAGCAGTGACTGGGGGTGCTAACCCTCCCGGCCACTCAGCAGTGAAGACCTATGGTGGCTTTCATCATCTTTTATGGAGGCAGGAAGGGAAATGAAAGCCCAAACCCAGAGAAAGAGTCCAAGAGGCTTACAGCTCTCCACCGAGGATTTTTCCAGTGGGTACATTTGGTTCTCAGCAAGTGCTTCTAGCCTTCTGACGCTTGGTAAAACTCGGGGCTGGTGCCCAGGCTGCTCTGAATGCACCTGTCTCCACAGCTTTCCTGCCAAACATTCTGCCCAGAAGGAAGCTTCCTAGTGGGGTGAGAGTGAGGTGGCATGACACCATACAGACTTAGGGGAGTGTACCCCAAGGATCTGAGTCTGCCCAGAGACTCTTTCAGAAAGCAAGCAGCAGGTAAGAATTCTGTGTTGATCAGAGTAGAGAGTTCACCAAGGTGATTATTTTTCAACCAATCATATCCAAATCATGTCTTTATGAACACAGTAGAGTCAACCTGAGTCTTACAATTTTAAAACCATGTTAGAATTACAACTCCCTAGTAAATGTGACCCTTTACTCTGGGCCTAGTAAAGCCCCATGAGTGCTCTCTCTGCAGAAAGATGATGATGGTCACAAAACCAGGTTAATTTGTGAAAAACAAAGATTTTTCAGGAGTATGAAAATTTTGAACAAGAGGATACAATCCTTTGTTTACTGTTTAGACATCTAGTTCCCAGAACAGAGAAGCTGAAAAGAATGTGTCATATGGAACCTCCTCACATTCTCCGTCCTAAGGCCAGCCTCAGAGAGGAACCACACTTCAGCTCTGCTGCCACACCCAAAACGGGACACAAGACTTCCACAGTGGCTCCCCATCACCACAGGGGATGGGTGAGGCTCAGATGTGATGGGGAAGGGTCTTTTGTGGCCTTGTTCTAACCTCAGGGTTTCACTTAATTCAAATGTATGAGCACAGCCGTCCTTCCCTCACGAAATAGCTGGGGAGCTTACACCAGACTCTGAGGATCCACTGAGGCCATCGCAGGCTTCTGTGTTAATGATGAGGGTGGCTTGTTTTTAACTCCATATTCATTTACTCATCTGGTGTGTGTGATGGACAAACTGCAGGGTGTCAGTTCAGGGAACCAAATTCAGGCCATCTGGCATGGCCACAAGTACCCCTACTCACCGTGGCATCCTGCAGTCCTGACTCAAGCTTTTTAGATGTAAGATAGGTTGTGCTATTTCAATCATGAATTAAACTTTCTAACTAGTGACAAAAATGCTGGCTTCTTTGGCCCTTCAATCAAAAAAGCAACTCATCAAATACAATTCCAGCTGGTACTAAATCAGTCCATGTTTTTAAAAATCTGAAGGATGTGCCTACTTGTGTCAGATCTGGTGTGATCAGTGTGAGTCAGACGGCTCTGCCCTTTCTCCCTTGACTTTCAAGTGTAAGAAACAAACCCTCATGTGATTAAGTACTTGCACACAGGCACAACCTGTGCCCAGAGCATTTTAGGTTTCGCCCAACTGGCACGAGGCCTGGTAGAACACAAGTACATCCTCTTATTTTCCTCTGTGACTAAGATACTTGAAGGAGGGCCACCAAGGGATCCTTAGGTCACCTACTCCTTGGTTTGACAAGTGGCATTCTGTACACTCATCCTTGTCACTGTACCTTGGATCATGGATAGTGGGTAGGAAGCTGGAAGAGACCCACACAGTCATCTCTCCTTTGTCCCAAGATCCAGCTAAGTGCCCATGGGCTAAGGAAAAGGGACTCACAGACACTCCCAATTGGAGGTCCTCAGAAGAGCATAAACACACTTAACCTGTGCGTGACCACACGCGGTAGCCAGGGACTGGCATGTGGCTTCATGAGTGAGTTTAGAAAGAAAAGTTCTTAAATAGGCTGTGGAAAACAGGTGTAGGTAGTAATAGCAAAAGAGTTCAAAGAACCACTCAAATAACTGAAAAGCCATCTCTGTGCTATATGTCTGGGTGATCAGACAATGCATCTAGGTCACTGCCTGAATGACTGGGTCCGGATGCTAGTGATGCCTGCAACTTGGCCCACGCCTGAGGAGCCCTGCTCTTGGCGGCCTCTATGAACATCTGGGTTTGCTCTTTCAGCTGGTCTAGTTCCACCTGAGTTGCTTGGTTCTGACGAATCAACTCCTTGGTTTTCAAAGTGATTTCGAGCAAACCAGACTTGTGGAGGACCACTAAGGTATTCTGGAAGCGCCTGTGCTTGCTCTGCCTCTGCTCGGAAAAGATGTCTGGGCTGCGGCAGAGGTCTGCGGCCCACAGCGGTGAACTGTAACTGGCTGACAGTGGCGACAGAGGGGAGCTGCTCTCTAAGCCATGCAGAGTGCTGTCTGCCGCACACACAGGACTGGCAGGCGATGCGAAGGTCAGGCTGGGCGCCTTAGCCACGTGACTGCTGGACACAGGCTGCAGAGTCTGTGGACTCCCACCAGCCCCCAGGGAGGGCACTCCTTGCAGAGCCGAGTCTTCAGTGAGTTTGGAGCTGGGCGGGGCTGGAGTGGAAGGACTGGATAGCACAGGGCCAGTCTTGGCTGGCTCCTGGGAAGACAGGCCTGGCCCCAGTCTCTCCGCACAGATCTTCTTCGCTATCCCGCTGGCTCCTCTTTCTTCTGAGCCGAGGGACAGGCTCCTTTTGCCTGGGTGGGGGGCTATTTTGGCGTAAGAATTGAGAATGGGCAAGTAGTTTCTGGAATCTGACTTCTTCTCAGCAGTGTGGCACGGGCTGACAGGGGATGGCACAGGTGGATGAAGGACAAAGAGCTGCGGCTGTGCTGAGATCACCTCAAAGGAGGGCTGGACAGTCCATGACTGGAGCTGCGATGAGCTGCTGCCCTGCAAACAAAGGAGAGAGCAGCTGTGGTCAGCGTGGCAGAGGGCAGCTCCCAGCTGCCACCCACGGCAAAGAAGGCCAGTGCCCAGCCACAGCTGCTTCAGGCGCTGTTCTGTCCCATGCGCAGGGGAGGGAGGAAGTGACCTGAAATCCACTCACATCTGAGATCATACTAAAAGCAAGAGAAAACCATAACCAAAGGCAAACACAAAAACGTTCTCCTAAGGGGAAACTTGAAGAAACATCTGGGGGTCTTATTTTCGTTTTCAATTCTGTCTCTGTGTGTGCCAGGGTATAGGAGGTGCACATGAGTACAGGTGCCCAAGGAGCCAAACAGTGTCAGATCCCCTGGAGATGGTGGTTGTGAGTCACCTGATGTGGGGTACTGGGACCAAACTTGGGTCCTTGGGAAGAACAAGTGCTTCCAACCACTGTGCTACCTCTCCAGTGAAATATCTGTTTTTATTTAAGAGCTATTATTCAGAAAAAGAAATTGTAGATAGATGAAATAATGACACAGTCAAGGTACAACTGAGACAATAGAATATCCTGGCCTAAGTTAAAAGATGCTAAGCTCAGGCTGGGGTTTGACTTTGCTGCTGGAGTGCTTGCCTAGCATGCCTGGAGTCCTCTATTGAACCCCAGCACCACATAAGCCCTGGAATGGTGGCATATACCCATCATCTTGGCATTCAGGAAATAGAAGCAGGAGTGTCAAGACCTCAAACTCATCCTCAGCTACATGAGGATTTCAAGATCAGCCCGGCTACTGGAGACCCTGTCTCAAAACAAAGAAACCCCAAAGCCAAATGAAACCCAGAAGAGGCCAGCTTGTCACTGAGCTTCCTGGCTCCTGACCAGCCTAGCAACTTGCCATCTGTCCTGTGCCCCCGTGTCACTCCTGCATGTCCTGGAACAGCCACCCCAGGCTGCAACACACATGGCTTGTCACAAGGAGCAACAAGAAAGGTAAAGGAGAACCAGAGAGGGAACCAGCCCAGAGTAAGGACACCCAAAGGCACCAGGCAGCACTGGCAGGCCGGGACGACCTCATTTGGGCCCATTCCCTCTCTGTGCTCTTCCCTTTCAGTAAGGAGAGCTGAGGTTCCTGCTGAGACGGGATCTACCAAGCAAAATATTCAAAGGATTGCTCAGAACTCACCAGCTGCCTACCTTGTTGACCTCAGTATGTATTCTTCAGAAGTGACCAGATACCAAGGTAGTGTCTGCTATAGCCATGTTCTTATAACCTCTGGCTAAGGTGGGAAGGTCAACACTAAAACCATATTTTCCATATACTTGTTAATGCAAGAATCGTATCTATTTTCAGAGTAAATTACTGTAAGTTTAAATGTTGTTTGACTTAAATCATTTTCCATCCCTCAGACTTCTCTATCCAAACCTAACCAAGTTTTTGTGAGTGAGTTCTCATTCTTAAACCCTATAACCTAATTAATATTTTCATCCATTAATGTTTCACATCTAGGAAATAACCACATAATGGACACAGTTCTGTGCTAGAGCCCACTCCAAACCACTCAGAGCTTTACAGCCAACAGTGAGGACCCTGTGGGCACTGCCATTCGTAGCCCACAGAGCTGTCCAAGGTGTGGCTCTAGCTTAGAAACTGCCTCTGCTACCGAAGCAAAGATGTCCTTCCTGCTGTGTTTGTTTGTTTGAACTGTCTTTGGCACAGTGTCTCATTATGTATCCCAGGCTGCCCTCCAACTTGCAATCCTCCTGCCTCTGTGTCTCCAGGAGTGAGGCTACAGGAGTGTACTACCATGCAAGCTTACAAACATGTCTTATACTCCTGAATTCCCAAATTAATTCAGTTTAAAAAGAGGATCCCAGGACTGTGATACAGTACAGTGGTGTATGTTTGCCTAACACACAGGGCTTGGCTGCAGAACTGAAAACTGAAGAAAAAACAAAAAAAAAAAAACAACTTTTGTTTCTCCCTCTGCCTCATGTTAGAATGCACCACTTAAGTGGCTGTTTGGCTTGGTTCCATTATACATTACTACGGGAGGTCAAGGTCCATTTAAAACTAGAAATACAAAGATAAAATAGTCAGAACATCAGTCCTGACTTGTGTACCTCCCTCTCTCTCTCCATCCCTCCCCCTTCTCTCTTTCCGTGTGTGTGTGTGTGTGTGTGTGTGTGTGTGTGTGTGTGTGTGTATGTGTACATGTGAGCTCAGGTGTCTTCAGATCAGAGGAAGGCAGAGTAGAGTATTTGTACAACACACACACAAACACACAATTTAAAAAATAAATCTTAAAAGAATAAATGTCAATCAGAAAACAAGCAAACAAGAGCAAATGGCATCAGTAGTTGAGGTGGCAGCCTTTCCCGGGAGGAAGGTCCACAGGGAAGTGCAGACGCTGTCATCGGCAGACTTTGGGTCCCACTGGTCCTCACCTGCTTGACCAGCACGTTCTTCATGACCACCATAGGGGACAGCGCAGGGAAGGCAGTGCTTGTGGCTCTGGAGCTCGGCCTCAGCCTGTCCTCCCTGCTCCAGCCCAAAGCACTCAGCATGTCCTCTGATTCCATCTGCTCTGCGGAGCTCAAGCATTCTGAGCTCCCATCTGCTGGGCAGAAAAAACCGTCAGTTCACTTGCGCTCTAGGCTAACGGCTCATAACCCAGCCACTAAAACAGAAAGGACTCCCTGGAACAGAAAGGAGCATCTTTGATAGGTATTTCTGTGAGTTCTCTTAAGCAGAAATTTCACTGCATGTTCAACAACGAGCCCTCCTGCTCTAAAAGCCTAACCACTCTGCTTGGCTTTCTTCAAACCCTTAGAAAATCCCACGTCAGTCAGGGTTCCAGTGAAAGCACTCATCCCCAGATCACGTGAGAAATGAGTTGAAGACTCCAAAGTGAGATGATTGCTTTCAGTCTATTTTTTAACAACTTTTTTTTGCATGCCACACTGCATGTGTGGAGGTGGGGGGACAACCTGTGAGAGTCAGTTCTCTGCTACTCGGCTACTTGTCAGCCTTAGTAACAAGTGACTTTACCTACAGAACCATTTCATCAGTACTAGGTAATTACTTTTCAAATCTGTTGTTGCCAAGTTGGGGGGGGTGATTTGTTTTTTTTGTTTGTTTGTTTGTTTGTTTTTGTTTCTCTATATTGCTTTGGAGGCTGTCCTGGAACTCACTCTGTAGACCAGGCTGGCCTCCAACTCACAGAGATCTGCCTGCCTCTGCCTTCCGAGTGCTGGGATTAAAGGCACGTGCCACCAATGCCTGGTTGAATTAAAATCTTTCAAGGCTCTAGAAACCACACACTATGGTTAAAGTATAAAAAACAAAGCCAATTAAAATTTATATCCATGTTAAAATGAAAAGCTTTGTCCTGAGTTTTCTGTTTGAATGGTTAGTGCTAGCTATTGGGAGAATCTACACTTGCCTAGGAGACAAACCTCCAGGCATAGCTGTGAAGGATTATCTAGATGAAGTTCTCAGAAGTCAGTGAGGGATTATCTCCATTAGGTTAATTGATGTGGAAAGACTCGGCTGCAGGCAGGACCTCTCCCTGAGCAGGGAGCCTTGTATATAAAGAGAAGGATGAGAGCTGAGCACCAGCACTCCTTACTCTCTGCTTCCTAACTGTGGGTGCAGGTAAGAAACTGCTTCAAGTTTCCATGACTTCCCTGCCATGATCAACTATAACTCAACTGTGAGCTGAAATAAACCCTTTTCCCCACAGGTTGCTTTTGTCTCATGTATTTTATCACAGTGACAGGTAAAGAAACCTTAAGGCACTTGTAAAGCTTAAGCTAAACTGTTTGTCTCTGTTGTCCCCACCACCCTGTTAAGCACCTATTTGCCGATGTCCTGAACACATGAGAGCTTACTGGGATCCTGCACCATAGGGGATAAAAGGGTGCTGCCATGGTTTGCATCCGAAGTGTCTCCCACAGGCCCGCGTTTTGAACACTTGATCCCCAGCTTGTGGCTCTATTTGGAAGGCCATGCAGGTGGTGGCTGAGAGCAGGCCTGGCGGGTTACACCGGGCTCTGACGCTGGCCTGCTCTCTGTGCGCCTGGTCCACTGCTGCACACGTCTACCTCCACACACAGCAGCTCCGCCTCTGAGGAGTGAGACCTTTGTGAGCAACACGAAACTCTGTTAGGTATTTTGGTTATGGTGATGGGAAATAAAACAGATGCTCTCCCTATGTTAATCCCACATGCAGCCAGGTACCTGCCAGAAGAAACCAAGAGACAGTTGTACCTGGCCACAGACGTATCTGGGACTATTTTAAATGCTCACCAATGTGCAGCTCAGTTGACAGAGAGCTTTCTAGGTATGTAACAGCCCTAGGCACCATCTCCAGACCACATAAGCTAGGTCTGGTGGTGCATACCTTCCCTCAAGAGGTAGAAGCAGGGAGATGAGGAATTGAAGGTCATCTCTGGCTACATAGTGAGTTTGAAGCCAAAGATACATGAGTACTACCTCAAGAGAGAGAGATCAGAACAAACCAGGTATGGCAGCACACACCTACAATCCCACCACTCAGGAAGCTGAGACAGAAGGACCATAAATTCAAGGAAATTTAAATAATTGTACCTTGTATCTTGTGCAGCTTGGCAAAGACTATGTGATCAGAAAGGTATTTTCAACAGGTATAATTCAGAATGTCTAGTGACACTTCTCCATTTGGCTGATGGAGTCCTCCCCTTAATCAAACAGTTAATCCAAATGAATACTTGTGATTCACTGCCAGACCAGAACTACCAGACTAGAAACAAGCATAAGTCCTGATCTTGGAGCAGAAATGCATTCTACATGTAAAGAAACCAGTGTCCTTGGAGAAAGAGCTACTGCCAAGTCTTTGGCTAAAAAGGCACAAGATGAACCTAGACAGTTGTTGTCCCAAAAATGAAAGAGGTGCTCAAACACTGAGGGAGAAGGTGTCAAGTGAGACAATGGCAGTTTTAACTCACTGGCCAAATCTGAGACAATGTAGGTAACAGAAATATGAGGCTAACGACCAACAGACTGAATCACTACAGACTCCTACAAATCCAGAGTGACAGGTAAAAAGGACTACAAGAAGGACAATGCTTCTTCACAAAGAGGTTCAGTTGATGACAAAATGACAGCATTAACAAATCACAACTTCTAAATCCCTACAGTGGTAACCAGTTCAAGGAAAGCTTGTCAACAGATGCTAAGACACCAGCCAAGTTTGCCGGAAGGCAGGTAGAGTGGTGCCTGCCTATAATCCCAGCACTCAGAGGCTGAGTTGCCCATATTGGTCAGAAACTCACTCTAACCCAGGCAAGTCTTGATCTTGTAACCCACCTGCTCGGCCTCCCTAGAACCTAGAATTCTAGATATCTGTCACCAGGGCCAACTAAAAAACTATCTTTACAATAAGGAAATCTGGTGCATAGTACCTTTTAATCAGAGGATCAGAGTATTATCAAAAATGAGAATGGGGCTGGAGAAATGGCTCAACAGTTAAGAGCACTTACAGAGGACACAGGTTCAGTTCCCAGTCCCCACATCAGGAGACTCACAACCTCCTGTAACTCCAGTTCCAGGGGGATCTGATGCCCTCTGCTGGCCCCCACAGGCACCTGCATGCAAGTAGTGCACAAACTCATGAAGATACATACATACAAATAAATAAACAAATATTTAAAAAAGAAAAAGCAAAAAAATGAGAATAACTTAGCAATCTCCCTGTGTTTTGGGGAAATATACAACATCAACAATGCAGTCTTCTAATGATTCAAAAAATGGGGAAGCTATCAGAAAATCCAGAATGTGGGACATTCTATAAAACTGTATTATTCGAAGATATCAATGTCATAAAGTAAAGAAAAGATGGGAAAGCTATTCTGGATTCAATAAGATTAAAAAGGCAGGCTATCTACATATAATGCACACTTCTCAATGGGATCCTGGATCCAAAACAAAAAGACAATGGCAAACAGCTATAAGGACATTACTGGAACACTAGGAAAAATCCAAAGACTGTAGTTAAAGAGAATTCAATCAAGGCTGACTTTCTTAGGTATAATAATGGCATTATAATTATACAGAAGGATGTCCTTGTTTCTGAGATTCATACTAATTTTTAAAGATAAAATTCTAATTGTTTAAAATTTACTTTTCAAACAAAACAGTTAAGCCCATGTATGTAGGGGAGGATATGAATAAAGCAAAAATGAAAATTTGTAGTGGATCTAAAAGAAAGTACCTTTCTTGTGGGGGGCTCGTTCATTTTTCTTTAGGTTTAAATTTTCTCAAAATAAATGTGGGAAAATAATTAAAATAGAAAATACCATCCATCTTGATTTTGTAAATTTTACTGAAGTGCTTCTCAGCCAGCCTTTTGGATAAGATAAAGTATGAATTTCATCATACCCAAGGTAACTGGAATAATTCAGGCAGAGACCACGTCCCTGGAACCTGCCCCAAGAGTGACCAGTGTTCACTGGGACCATCTTCTGAAACAGGAACAAGGTTGGTCATTCTTAATACCATTCTGTGTCGGAACAGTGTAGTATGTATTAAATCAACTGCCTGACAAAAATTAAAGACTTTAGAAGAAGGAACTAGAGTCAATGGTCCTGGGAATTATAAATGGAAGGATTATGGGTAAAGCTATTTTCTTCTTTGACTCCTCCAGTGTCTATAAACTTTTACTATGTGCATGCATTACCTTTATGATCTAGAAACAGATCAAAAGCAAATGTGATACCGAAAGAAAGCCCTTCAGTGTCTTCCAGACCTTCGACCTTGTTTTATGGCCCACCTTCCAGGCCCTTCCCCAGCCTCAGTACCAGAATCTCCAGGCAGGTCTAGGAGTCTAAACCTTTAATAGATGTTTCAGATGAACTCCATGTTGAGACAAGCCTGGTAAGCAACTATATTCCAAGAAGGGAACCCAAAGTACTGCAGGCTGGCTCACCCCTCTCTGGACTGCCCTGGCCTCTGTTCTAATCCCCTGGGTCAGTGCTGTCCCTCTCTGAGTAACAGTCTATTTATAATTCAGCTTCTCATTCAGCATGCCTCTGAGACGAAAACGTAACAATCTAAGAAGTAGAGAGCCCTAGATTTCCTAACAGCAGCATTTCCCAGTATAAGTTAGTAAATCAGTAATACGGATTGTCTCTGGAGCCTGGGTAATACCTATAAATCTTTCCCTAGAAAAAGCTCCATGCTCAGTATAGTAAGCCCGAATCCCCTGGCATCATCCTGGGAATCTCCTGGGACAATAATGTTGACATTGATTCAATATTTAGAGCAGTTCAAGCCACTACTCTCAGCTGAAGAAATGTAGAAATGAGATTGGGTGCAGCTGGCCCTTCTAGGGAAGGTTCTAAAGGACTATCAATAAAAGTTGTTTTACTATTACTTTTTAATAGTTTATTTATTTTTATTGTATAGGCATTGGTGGGTTTTTTTTTTAGCCTGCATGTATGTCTGTGTGAGGGTGTCGGGTCCCCTAAAACTGGAGTTACAGACAGCTGTGAGCCTCCATGTGGGTGCTGGGAACCGAACCACAGTCCACTGGAAGGCAGTCAGTGTCTTAACCACTGAGCCATCTCTCCAGCCCTTTTTGATTTTTTTAAAGACTGGCTTTTTGAGCCCACATGTCATGGTGCATGACTTTAATCCCTGCAAGTAATAATGATGGTGACAATGACCATGGTGATCATGATAAATAAGAGACTGGTTGGGGGAGCTGTTTGGTTTTTATTTTTTCAGATGGGGGCTCATCATGTAGCCCAGACTGTCTTGAAACTCACTATGTAGGCCATACTGGCTTCAAACTCACAGAGATTTACCTGCCTCTGCCTCCTAAATCCTGGGATTAAAGGCATATTTCACCCATACACACTCAAAGATTTGTTTATCTTCTTTTATGTGTATGTGCCTGTTTGCCTGCATGCACTGTATACATGCAAGTGCCCTCAAAGACCACGAGTGTCAGATCCCCTGGAACTATATTACGAGTGGCTGTGCATCACCTGATGTGGATGCTGACACTGCACTAATGTCCCCTGCAGAAGCAGCCAGAGCTCTTAACTACTGAGCCATCTCTCCACTCTCCTGTTCTACTTTCTTATCGTTAACAGAGTTCACAGGTGGGCCAGGTGTCTCACCGTCCAAACACAAGGAGTCCAATTATGAGGAAAAACTGCTAGAAGGGGACTTTTTTAAGTATAGCAAGTGTTATCTTAACAAATGATAGTTGCTTACCACATAAAGCTGGTTCAGCCAATGGCAGACCACATTTGAGATGATAACTATACCATACTGCCTAAGTACAGGCTATATCATCTAGGTCTATGAAAGTACACCCTAGTGTTCATACAAGGATAAACATCCCATAAAGATCAGCTTCTCATTACACAACACATGACTACATTACTTTTAACTGACCTTCACACTGCTACACGGCAACAAGGTACAGTAGTATTTTATTTTTCCTTTTTCCTGCCATGAAAAAGGAGTTAATGAAATAGAATTCTGAGTTTTGTTTTGTTTGTTTCTTTTTTTTGGGGGGGGGGTTGTGGTTTTTTGAGGCAGGGTTTCTCTGTATTGTTTTGGAGGCTGTTCTGGAACTCTCTGTAGACCAGGCTGGTCTCAAACTCACAGAAATTCACCTGCCTCTGCCTCCTGAGTGCTGGGATTAAAGGTGTGTGACACCAACACCCAGCAATTCTGAGTATTTTTTAAAATGCCTGTCTTTGACACAGGATCTCATGTAATCAGACTGGCCTTGAACTCATATGTAGCTAAGGATGACCCTGGACTTCTGATCCTCCTGTCTCTACCTTCCAGGGCTGGGACTGCAGACCTGTGCCAGCCTGCCCAGTTTTATGACGTGCTGGGGATCCAAACCAGAGCTTCCTGCATACTAGGTAAGCATTGCACAACTGAACTATATTTCCAGTCCATGTCTACATATTTTTCTAGTAACTACAGTTTGAAATATAGGATGGAAAGTGTAAAGTCTAAATTGACAGAAAAGGACATCAGATCACTTGTTCAGAACTGCCCACCGTGCCTTGAGGGATATCTGCCATAAGATACCAGAGTGACCACCCTTGTCTTCAGAGTCGCTATTTTTAAGAGTTCAGATAGTTATTTATCCTGTGCGTGAAGGCTTCTTATCTTTTTCACGCTAATGAGTTTCAGGCAGGAATGTTTTCATGCAAATCATTCAGTAAAAGGTAGGAGAATAAGATACTGTTAACCTGAAAAGCCAGAGTCCTTGTCTGAGTCAGCAGCCACCACGCCGAGCGGCCGAGCTACTCTTTTCGTCTCTGTGCCTCGGCCTGGCTTGGCAGAGAGTCTTCGAGGGCTCTCTCTGGATGGCATTTTTCTCTCCATGTTTCAGTAGGCTGGAAGCTGGATCACAGACAGTGTTTGCATATGGATTGCTCTATGAAAAACAACATTACATAAGAAGTCATTACCTTGAGAGAGAACCAGGTGAGCCAAATGGTAAAGGGCAAAGAATGCTAGCCTCACCCACTTCAGCTACACCTCCTCTGTTGTCTCAGCTGACCAAGCTTCAAGTTTACTAAACAGAATGGTTTCCACCCAAAAGAAGGCTCACCATCCCCTCGCTGCCCTCTAATTCCATTGCGAATTCAAGGCACACAAACCACATTCAGTGGAAGCTTTGTGAACTGCAAACAAAGGGACATTTGATTCGGCTTTTTGGAATGGGTAACCAAAGAAACTTGGCCTCCTCCCTGAGGAGAGGAGAGGTAACAGCAACCAGCAAGGCGTGCTTTCCCAGTAGACATCTGCAGGATCGTGACCCAGTGCCACCACTCACAGCATGGCGTTTCTCAAATTAACTCTCAGTTCTTAGAATGAAGTACTGAGCAGAGTACAACCAAAGTCTTGCATACATACATACACATATGCTACTTCAAAAGACTTTTTTACATTTACTTATTTTCGTGTATATGTATACATTTACAGGAGCACACATGTGCCATGATGAATATGTGGAGGTCAAAAGACAACTTGGTTCTATCCTTCTACCATGTGGGTCCTGGAGATCAAACCCAGGTTGTCAGGAGGCAAGCACCTTTACCTGCTAAACTATCCCACTGGCCCTATATGCTACTTTACCTGCTAAACTATCCCACTGGCCCTATATGCTACTTTACCTGCTAAACTATCCCACTGGCCCTATATGCTACTTTACCTGCTAAACTATCCCACTGGCCCTATATGCTACTTTACCTGCTAAACTATCCCACTGGCCCTATATGCTACTTTACCTGCTAAACTATCCCACTGGCCCTATAGGCTACTTTTTAATACAAAGCAGTATTACACACACACACACACACATATGCTGGAGATAGCTCAGCAGTTAATAACACTGACTATTCTTCCAGAGGAACTGGGTTCAATTCCCAGCACCCATATGGCAGCTTACAACTGTCTGTAACTCCAATTCCAAGGGATTTGACACCAATGCACATAAAATAAAAGTTGAATAAATTATCTTTAAAAAAAAACCATAAAACTTTTACAGCCTGAAGGTACATCTCAGTGGTAGAATGCTTACTTAGTATACTTAAGGCCTAATTTTGAGCACAACAAAAAAGAAAAAACTTTTTTGTATAAACATGTTTAAGAGGTGGGCTGAAGCCGGGCATTGGTTGCAATGAAGCTCAGATACATTACATTCAGTCACATGCATACATTTAAAAAAACACATACTAAGCGCCCCTGTAAGCTGGGCATTGTGCTAGACTGAGGATAACTGTGTTTGTGTCCCTCCTACTGCTTGCGATCTAGAGAGAGGAATGGATGTGAATCAAGTATTCACACACTTGTTGGTTGCATCGACAGGAGCTGTGAACAAGTGAGGCTGATGGGCTGGAGCACCAGGAAAGGGCCGTGAGGCTGGAATCTGGAGGATGAGGAGTCAGCGGGCAGGAGGGCCATCACAGGCTGTAAGTGAGCTGTGCAGTGTGTTGCAGGCCCGTGTGAAGGCTGAAAGGAGAAGAACATGGTGTATACAGAAGTAAACGGCCAAGGGTACTAACTGAAGAGCAGTGGGGACCTGCACAAAGACCATGGGTACTAACTGAGGAGCAGTGGGGACCTGCCGCAAAGACCATGGGTACTAACTGAGGAGCAGTGGGGACCTGCACAAAGACCATGGGTACTAACTGAGGAGCAGTGGGGACCTGCGCAAAGACCATGGGTACTAACTGAAGAGCAGTGGGGACCTGCCGCAAAGACCATGGGTACTAACTGAGGAGCAGTGGGGGTGGAGGCACACTCCAAGAAGTCAGGAGGCACTGTCAGGGGGATCTCTGGAGTCTGAGACCAACTTGGTCTACACAGTGAGCCTTAGGCCAGCCAGGGCTACCTAGCCAGATCCTGTCTTAAAACAACAAAAATGAATGACACTTTGGAGATAAAGAAAACAATGTGCCACCAAGGAAATCAGTAGCAGTGAAACTGGGCAGGTATAAGCAAAGCCCAGAGATGCTTTAACTTGAAATCCACTCAGGACTCCATGCACTTCAGGCAAGCATCTCTGTCCCTGAATATCCTGAAGTGCCATACCTCAACATTTCTGCTAGTTCAGGACCTAGTGAGATGAAACAGGAGACACATGCTTCCATGCACAATTGAGTAACCTCTTGCTCACATATGTACAGACCAATGGTTCTCAGCATGTGGGTCTCGGGGGTCAAATGAGTCTTCACAGGTTCACATATCAGGTATCCTGCATATCAGATATTTACAATTCATAACAGTAGCAAAATTACAGTTATGAAGTAGCAAGGAGACAATTTTATGGTTGGGGATCACCACATGAGGAACTGTACTAAAGGGTCGCAGCGTTAGGAAGGTTGAGACCACTGGTACAGACAATTTCAGGGGACTACAGAGACACAAGTGGTTTGAATGGGAGTAAATGCTAAATGTGAAGCCAAGTAAAAGTCATTTTGCCCCACACCTAACTCATTTAAGGTTTGTCAGCCTCATCTAGCTCATGTCAAATCACTCTTCTACCAGTCACGTGCTTAACCCTTCACACACAATGATAAGCGATGACGCTATAACATTTAACAGAGCACTATACAAAGGCAATGTCTCTCTGTTTGACAGCTATGACGTTTGACAGCCTGGACAATCCTGTTTCAAAAGTAGACTAAAATATAAAACTGTATCCCTAAGAAAAGCAGGATCCTTTAGTATGAAACCCAACAAATGTGAATAGTGTCATCTCCCCAAAACAATACTGTTCGAAAGTGAACAGAGCTGTCTTTAAAGTGGAGCTAGATGTGGCTTCTGGATGCCATTCAGCTAAGGCACACCTGACCAAGCTTCTGATCACATTAGAAGGGCAGGTCTTGTCAGGTGCAACTAATTAGGAATCTGAGAAAAATTCATACTATCTTACTAAACATAGACTATTTTATGGGCATTCAAGAGAAAGAATCCCAATTCAGTCTTCCGTGATCCTCATGACAAGACAGTAAAGTTACTAAAATGTGAGTACTGTTACTAAAATGCAGTCAGTGGAGCTACACAAAAACACTAAGGAATTTACTCTGGTTCACAGAGAATTCACAGGATAATGCTGACTACAGAACCAAAATACTAAAACTTTAATCTGTTAAATTCTAAAAGTTTAGGTCCTAGGGAATTAGTGGCAACTGGGAATAAAAACAACAAAACGCACACAATCGACTTTAGAATGGCCAAGTGTCCGTTTCGGATGCAAAAAGGATTAAAAATATGAAGGCTTCTCGTCTTGATAAAGTTCAGGTGAAGCATGAAGAAAGCCTTAGTGTTCCAGCCGCGGCCGCCCATGGGGGAAGGAGCACAAGGCTATACCCACCTCCCTTCTTTGGGAGGGAGTGGGCTCGCACACACCAGAGGAAACCCTGCATAGAAAAACGGAGGGGTGGCGTTTTCCCACCAGTACCCCTTAAGCCCAGGACCACACAAGTGGGAGAACCTAAAAACTCAGAAATCAAGAGGGTGTTATGTGCCTCCTCAGCACTACTTTACGCTAAAGTTGGATATTTACAAGCGTTTGGAAGTGGTTACACCATCTTTACTGCCACCCCATCTCTGCGCCTCCCGACCACGGTGGGAAGCCACTACACTTTATACACTTCCCAGACCCTGCACTTCCCTCACTTATTCTGCACGAGGGCTGCTGCTCCCAAGCGACCCTACGGGGCCTCCTATAAATACACAAGTTACACATTATCCAAAGGTTGTCAGTGCAGGCCATATGCAGTGAGATTCAATCGGAAATTGGTCAACACACAGGTCCACATAAACTGGTGACATTCTCAGAAGTCCTCCAGGGCTTACTTCCCTTGTTCACTTCTTACATTAGAGCCATCACTCGTCTCGAGAACCTCACCAGTCGCTGGTTCTGTTTTCATTTTGTTTCCATCTTTGCAACAGACCGGTGAGGTATTCACCAGAGTACTAACTTCTAACAAATCTCTCAGTCTGGCAGTCTCTGAAAGCCAAAGCAGTTTAGCAGTCACCAAAGTACGTGAACGCAGTATTTCCAAACACCATGACCACCTCAGGATCTAATTTTCAGGTGCAGTCCAACATGTACCCCTTATTCTAAATGAAACCATAGGGACAAACATACCAGCCAAATTAAAAGCTGGTGCAACCCACTATCTCTGGGGCGTTTTGAGTCGGGGATGAAAGACCATCAAAGGTTACAGGGAAGCAGCTTTTAGCACTCTCTTTTTATAGCTACTTGGCAACACTCCTGAGAGCTCACGTTCCCTTTAAATGTGTCACGTGTGTGGCATGCGTGCACAGAGGTGTGAGGCGAAAGCCCTAGAAAAGGCTTATGTGAATAAAGTGAGAGGGCCACAGAAGTAAAGTCTTTATCGGCCATAAAGCCACACGTCACTCCAGTCACAAATTTATTTGTAGGTTTCCTCTGAAGTGGTTTTCTTTTGGTCTGCATTTTCAGAGATACCATTCCAGGAGGATGTGTATTTTAATGGTGGAAAGACTGCCCCTGCCTACGTGTCTATTATTCCTATTCTCCCTCACACTCCTTCCCATTCTCAAAACTGGCTGGAAAAGGCATGTCGAAGTCTTCCACACAGTCACACGGTGTCCCACGGCTCTCTCCATCCTCATCTCTTAGAGGGGGCCATGTGATTAGAGACCGTCCTCAGATCCCTTTGAAAGGGGGCTCACATTAACAGTGCCCACCCACCCATTCGCACCAGCCCACATGACATCTGCCCCAGGCAGCACGCCCGCCCGCCCTCCAGGCATCAACTAGCCTGCCAACTCAACAGGGTAGAATCGGGCAGACCACAGGACTGTGCTGTGACTGGCATACCACCAGTCTCCAGGGCAAATGTCCAGGCGATGCCTACTGCCAGGACTTGGGCAATAAACAGAGAGCTTGGCTCTGGTCTGGGTCCTGGGTCCAGATCAAAACTGCCCTACCCAGCCACTAACCATTGACTTCTTACTTGGCACTACCCACCTTCTTCCTCGCATCCCTCCTTGGCGTGACGCCTGGCTAGCTGGCCTAAAGTAGGGGACCTCAGGCCTCTGGAACAGACAGTGCACCTGTCTGGGCACCGATCCTAAACGAAGGTCCTGGACACGCAACTGGACTTACTCGGTAAGCAGTCCTCATGCCCACCATCTAGCCCAGACCCCTGTGCTTACAGCCCGGCAGCCCTTCATGCTCTCCTCCGGCAGGAGCCGCGGTACCCAGGGCCAGGCCGGGGCACACGTGCCCTAAGGGACTCACACCACTTGCCACACACACAGGCCCCTCCCGACACACCGTCTCCGCCTCACCCCAGATTCCCTTTCCCACGCGGGCCCGGCCCTTAAGGCAAACCGACTACATGGAAGGCAGGGACGGCGGGTCCCTCGGCTCCCAATATTTGGCGCCCCTCCACCCCGTTCTCCCAGAGTCCTGGTTCTCCTTTGTGTCCACTTCGCTCCCTTCCTCTTCCACCTGCTCCCACCTGCTTTCTCAGCGCTCCCAGTCCCAACCTCCCAAGTGTCGCCATCCCAGTTGCCCCGGCGCCCGGAGCCTGGCGAGCCCTGCCTTTCTCACCTATGGCCAGGGTCGCCGCTCCACGACCAGCCCGGCGGGTCAGCTGGCGCATGCGCGAGCCGGTCCCCACGACTCCATGACAACCTGGTATTCGCCGGGTCCCCAGCTATCCCGCAGGCCTCCCGCCCATTTCTCCTCCCCCTCGCCTCCGCCGCGGCTTTCGCCGGTCACGTGAGCTCCACGGACCCAGCACCATGGAGACTGCGCGCCGTGCTCCTAGAAGGGCACTTGGAGAGCCGCCCTTCTCCCCCGCCACTTCCTCTCTCTACGCCGGAAGAGCGCCGTGGTCCTCTCTATGGTCGGCGCCAAGGCTTCGCCGCCATTTTGTCGAGCCATTGTGTTGAGGGCCAGCGCCGGTGACTGGGGTTTGAAGGCGGGGGTGGTGGCTGTCGCCACACGGCCGGAGTCGGGATTCGTTTGGGGGCCCTGAAGGGAGGCTGCCCTCGGGGCGCGTCCCCTCGACGCCGTTAGGGGTGGGGACCGGAACTGGGCGCGCCCGGCCTGTGGTGGCTGCGGCACCCAGCGTGGGAGGACTCGCCCGGGCTGGCATCCGGGCGCGGTGTCCCTGCGAGTGACTCGCTCGCGTTTTTGCCACGCCTGTCGCCTGGTTTGCGTTCCCGTCAACCCTCCGGACCGCGCACGAGGACGAGACGCAATGAGTACTTCCGTGGAGTGATTTCATGCCAGTTGATGGTTGGCTCGCCTTGCCCCGTGCGGGGGAGGTGTCAGCTTTATTGACGATGTCCCATGCCCGCCCCGGGAAAGGGAAGCACAACCTGAGCATAAGCCCCGAGAGGAGGGCTTCACAGCTAAAAAGCGGCAGGCTTATGTTGACAGTTGGAAGCCGGCTCTGTAGCTGCCCTTGCCTGTCGGTCCCGCTACTCCAGTAAGACCTGTTAAATAAGGATGTTACGGTCTCGGGCGCATTGGCGGCATTACAAGAGCTCAGGGACCACATGCAGCTAATGGCTACTTTATTGGACAGCGAAGATTAGCGCCTGTTCTTGGCACTTGCAAATAGTTAAACTGGGCATGTGGATCTAGATGGCGAATGGTCCTGCATTGGTAATCAAAGCACCAAGCAGCTTAAAAGGAGATAGTTAATCACGTTATTCATCCAGACACAGATAATGCTAATTTGTTAGTGAGTATGAATGTACTTATTAGCATAAGCCCTCCCAACAAGTACTAGTTGAATGCCTACATCGCTGTTGTTTGGGAATGGAGGAAATGAAAACAGTGGTTAACCATTATCAAATCATTAAGAACCTGTAGTTTTACGTGTGTTTTCTCAGGACGCCTCAACAATTGTATGGCCTGCCTAGGTGCTGTTACCCTTAGTTTATAAACTAGGGAAATGTGAAGTTTGTGCTCATGATACAGCTGCAAAGCCTGAGCTTAACATACTGCCCCTAACTAAAACAACCTTTGCCTTCAAACACCTTAAGGATCAACACATAAAGCAAAACGGTCTAATAACCAGCATGAGAGAATGTAAGTGCCAAAAACAGGCAAAGGAGAAAGAATTCTCCAGCTTGAGTCATTGTTGAACGAGGAAGAAACTAGGTAAAGCTTTTAAGCACAGATAAAGGTCAGCTTATGAAATGGAAATGGGGTCATACATACAGGCAGAAATGAGTAAATTAAATAAGCAGACCCATGAGGAATGGCAAAATAAGTCAAGGTTTCCCTTGCACATTAGCAGACAGCCATTCTGTATTAACTACTTGGATTTCAAAATAAAATCAGTGGTATTTATGAATAGGTGTGATTTTATGATTATTTTACTCTATGATTCTATATGAAGAAGTCCATGAGAGTAGATAATATTGTTAGGTAGCCAAATCATTTTTTTCCTTCCTTTATTGATTTCCCAGGGCTGTAAATTGGCCCCTATATGGATAGTTTCCTGTGGCCTGAGGCCGTTAGTCATTGTTCTGGGACTCTTGGTTAGGCTCAGGTCCTGTAATGAAGAGGAGATGTTAAAGCATGATTCTTCTGGGTTTCAGGTCTTAGCAATTTGAATCCTCTTCAGTGCCCTGGAGGCTCAAGACTCACTTTACCAACACCATTTCCAGCAGGGGGAGACATGCTACATTAAATGCTGCGCTAAAATTTTGGACTAGATTTCCACTTGTAAGCAGAGCTGAGTCAGAAACAGCGATTCTTTTCAGTCTGCCTCAGTGAATTATTATCACCTGTTCATCAGGAGTTTGACTTTTCAGTCCCATGTAAGGGAGCATGAAGAGTTAGCTGTGTGTGTATGTGTGTGAGATCATATACATAAATATGGGTACATATATGTATATATGTATATACACACACATACATATGTACATCTTTCAATTCTCATTTTTATTTATTTGTATGTCAGGTCTCTCTGTAGTATTTACTTTGTAACCCAGGATGACCTCTCCTTAAACTTGCGGTGATTCTCCTGCCTCTGCCTCCTGAAGGCTGGAGTTACACCTGGTATACTTTCAAATGCTTATAAATAATAATGATTTTGTCCAGGCTTGGTGGTACATTCCCGTAACCCTTGCTACTCAAGAGGCTTAGACAGAAGGATGACTTGAGCCCAAGAGTTCAAAGCTACTCTAAAGATGGGGGCTGGGGAAAAGATGCCAGTGCTAAATAAATAAATAAATGAATGAATGATACATAAACTTGAATTTTAAATTAGTTATTTTAAAATCATTTAAAAGATACTAGTGTAAAATGAATCAAGGAAAGCATCCAAAATATCTAGTTTCAAACCCCACCTTCTCTCAGTTTGTTTTATAAAAGAAAGGACATTTTGATATCTCATATATATAGGATAGGTATAATCTCACAATTTAAAAATTGGATAATTTTAAGATAGGCATGGTGGTTCATACCTTTAATCCTAGCATTTAGGAGGCTGAAGTGGAGGCTACCCTGTTTACAGTACAAGTTACAAGACAGCCAAGGCTACACAGAAACGCTACTTAAAAAAAAAAAAGTCGTGCAAAACTTCACATTCTCATTTCTCCAGTTTTACCAAGGACTAGTAAAAACACAAGGACTGGATTGGTTCCTGGACCAGCATTTGAGAGCCAGTGATTTCATTTTTCTGGACTTCCTCCGCCATCTGTAACATCCTCTAGTCTTAATCAGTACCTAACATTATTAATGCTAGCCAGTTCTTAGAGTTCTCAAGGAGGATTTGATGGTGTGTTAAGATACATGTGTGCACTAGAGGGTCAGAGTCGTGCTGAGGAAGAGGCAGCTCTCCAGCATGGACAGGCAAGGCAGACCCATGGCCCGACACAGACAAGACATGTACTGGTCAGAAGTAGAAGGGTGTGCGTCCTCGTTCCTCTCAGCAGCCAGGTTACTTCTTAACCTGTGCTCATTGAGGAGTCTGGGAGAGCAGGATCATGAGGAAGACAGTGTTTATATACAGTCAGGATGCTGACACGCAGTTTTGATTCCAGGGGCAGGAAATGCCTCCCAGACAGCTAGCTTGTTCTCTCTCATTGTTGGTACCTTAAACTCCTTCTACATTCAGATTCTTAGCCTTTAGTACATAGAACATTCAAGACCAACTTGAGTTTCATGAGACCCCCAGAGAGAAACAAAGGGAAATGGGAGTGAGTGAAGGGTTTCTCTCCAGACTGTTCCACACTTGTGATTCTGGAAAGGAAACACCAAAGCCCTACTATTTTTGTCTGTCTGAATCATTTGTGGGGCTTTTTCTGTTCTGATCATTTGTTCAAGAATGTCCTTGAGGAACTGGAGAGATGGCCCAGAGATTAAAAGCATTGTCTACTCCTTCCCATGGTTCAATTCCCAGCACCCATATGTCAACTCACTAACAGCTGTAACTCCAGTCCCCGGGGATCTGGTGCCATCTTCTGTCGTCCACAGATAGTGCATGCCCACAGTGCTCAGACACATATGCAGGCAAAACACACACATAAACATTTTTTTAATCTTTAAAAATAAAATGCCTCCTTAAATTGTATTTAGCTCAAGGCTAATGGTATTTGGAGTCTATGAATAATGGCAGTAGAGAGGACCTGTGTAGTGTCTGTGTGACAGACCAAAACATTCCTAAGAACTGTACACCACACTCCTGAAGGAGGAAGGCTTGATTGGATCTTTGAAGGTGCCACTCCAAGGGTTGGCTGGCTGGGTCTGTTTAAGGCAGTGTTGTTACTGGGACATTTAAATTCGCTGAGCCTGCTCCACTGTTACCCTACATCTTAAAAAATTAGAAGACTGAGGGTCTGGGTAGATAGCTCAGTCAGAAAAGTACTTGACATGAATGTAGGGTGCTCCAGCATCCAAATAAAAAGCCAGGTGTGCATGTACCCTGTAATCTCAGCATGGGCAATATCTAAGTTACTGTTCTATTGCTGTGAAACATAGGAAACATAATATAAATGGGGGCTTACTTACAGTCTCAGCCCTCTGAGACTAGTCCATGATCATCAGGCAGGCATGCAGACAGGCATGACACTGGAGCAATAGCTGAGAGCTCATATCCTGATCTGCAGGGAGGCAGAGAGTGATACTGTGCCTGGTACAGGCTTTTGAAATCTTGAGCCCACCACCAATGACAAACCTCCTCCAAGGCTAAACCTCCTAATCCTTCCTAAACAAGTCCACCAACTGGGAATCATATCTATGAGCCTATGGGAGTCATTCTATCAAACTACCACAGGGGAGGTGGAGACAAAGTAGATGCCTGGAGCTTCTGGTAATTAGGCTAGCATTAATCTGCTAGTCCCAGCTCCCAGTGAGAGCTTTGCTCAAAAATTGGGTTGGATGGCTCCTGAGGACCAATACTCAAGGTTGTCCTCTGACTTTCATTGGCACACAAATATATGTACATGCATGAACACACACACACACATTTACATACACAAAAAGGAACTAGGAGACTGGAATTGGTTGGGTTTTTTTGTTTTGTTTTGTTTTTTGGTTTTACCAGACAGGGTTTCTCTGTACTGTTTTGGAGGCTGTCGGTCCAGCCCGGCCTCCAACTCACAGCGATCCTCCTGCCTCTGCCTCCCAAGTGCTGGGATTAAAGGCGTGCGCCACCACCGCCCGTCGAGACTGGAATTGGTAAAGGAAATTAAGTTTATTTACACTTTGGCTAAACCAGGAAGAGAGACTCTTAGTTTCTTTCCACTTCCTCTGTAGCAGTGTTACAAGTCTATAGGAAAGATGAAATAAGTCAGGATATATGAGGTGTGAAGATGTCAGAGCCCTGTTAATGAATGTCTTCCTGGGAAGCAAGTTCCTCCAGTGGGCTGATGCCAGGATTTCAGCCTTTCCCTTTCCCCAGCATGGAATTCCTGGGGAAATTTTAAATATCTGGAGTCCGTTGTTTCAATAGCCTGATAGCCAAAGGGAGGGGCGTCAGTGGCTTCTTTTGACTAGCTCTTCTCCTGCCAGAGCACCACAGCAGGCTGGATTAGTAGCTGCCCCATGTTAGGATGAAGTCTTGCCTAGTTGTTCACCAGGACTACCCAATGGTTTATCTCAGTCCAGAACTTGCCAAATCTCAGAGCCCAAGA